CAGAGAGCCGGCATGAGGTCATGCCACATCTGGTGCAAAGAGCGAGCTGAATTTGGTGTACAGCATCAATGAGTGAGTTGAATGGGAAGTCCTTCGCCCTGGAGCAAAGCACACTCACAGTGTAAATTGATGAACCCTGCGTTCGTGCACATGTGGCGGCATTGCCTATGAAACCTCTGAGCATGCGAGATCCACATCAGTATCCGAAGTCCACAAGATTTATTGCCGGCGCCCAAACACTTGTTCTTCCAAACCCTGAATCCGCAGCCCTCGACATCTAGGGTCTTATCATTCAGGGATCATGCCAAGGTTGGACCACTACCTCCACGAGCTCGAGTTTGCATGTTCGTCGCGCACTGAGGTCACTTTGTTCAGGGGTCGAGGTCGGGAAGACGCAGAAAGCACATGCCATAAGCCCTTTCACACCGCCCTCGTTTGTTGCATCGGGAACTCGAGCAAAGATCAAAGAGAGTGGACTGGGTATTTCAGGCTGAAGTTTGTCGAACTATACCGGCGATGGCCTGGCGGAGGGCGGAATCTCACAAGTCGCGGGTGTACCACCCAAAACTTGACCCAGGGCCGGAGACTTTGAACCTGTAAGGGCCCGAGGGCCCAGTAAGAGCCTGCGAGGTCTGTAACCATGGCGACGAATCTCCTTAACGTCGCCGCCTTCGAGGCGAAGCGAATCCTTTTCGGGCCCACGACTGTACCAGGTTTCGGCTCAATTCTGGTCAGCGTGTTCGAAGTGCTTGCGCATGCGTTTAGGGCTTAGGGGGCAGGGTGATAGGTGAGCTGAGCAACAACTACCAACGAAGGTTCGAGAGGCAGCCTCACCGCACACTCTGCACTTGAGCGCAAGTATGCACCCTACGTTGATTCTCCCGAAGATTCGCAAATTCTCGGAATCGCAGCGGCGGCAAAGTAGTGGTCCTCAATTGGATGTAAAAGTGGTGGTAGTTAACTGTAGCAAGCAGATAGGCACAATGAGGGCCACCAAGAAGGCGACCGAGTGATGTCAGCAGAGAACTGAGTGATGAAAACGGCCTGTGCTTGATGTCTGAGGGTCTGCAGCGCTTCGTCGCAAGCCCTACCTTTCAGGGCTTTCTAGTCTCCTCGAGCCTCACGGTGCTGAAGCATGTGCACGCTTACCTTCCTTTTATGTCGGCTTGTCGATTTTGGTCCTAAGACGGAGTATCTAGATGCACATCGCCCCCAGACAGCGGGCTCATCGCGACCGCATTTCATCAGAACGAAGATCCTCGCAGACCGGATTCTCTTCGCAGCAAAAAAGCACCAGCAGATGTGCATACTCGCTACAGCCCGCCTTGGTGATTAGTTTGTGCGGAACAGTTTTTCGTTGTCATACTGTGTCACATTGCGGCATAGCAGGGTATAATATGTTATAGTACACAGCGTGCCAGGTTCCTGTCTCATCCTTGGATGCCGCGGGCCATCTCCCCGAAAATGATGGGCCACTGGCTCTGTGGATGGAGGTTTTGGGTCCTGCAGGGGCTCTCAGGGTTCAGGGAATTTGCTTGGGCTTCACGTTTCGGCTTTGCATGTTGCTTGACACGCACGCACACACACACACATACAAACCGAGACACTTGTCTCAAGGTACCCTTCAGCAGCAGCATGCACATGGTGCTTGCTGCGCTGTCAGTGAGTGTGCGAACAAGATCGGTCTACTCTACATGGGCATTCTGTTCCCAACCTCGCGCCGGCTGCGGCATTCCTGCGCAGTGGGGCCTTATGGAAGCTATGAAGCAAGAGGACATCTCATGGTGGTGAGAGCAGCGAAGAATACACACGTTCATGATAGCAGATCAGCATTCCGTGCATAAGAGGCCGTTTTCAAACGGAAGTGGTACTTGTAAGCCCTTCACTTGGGACCTGACCCTTATATCAACCCACGGCTCATCCACGGACTTACGCGCCGTCGCCCAAGAACAAAGTACCGAATTCAGGAACATCTTGATCAACAAAAAACCCACAACCCTATACAAGCCCCCATTTACAAATCTAGTTCAATTTGAGCAACCTCCTAAACCCGAAATCCGAATGAACCCTATAGAAAACCCTATTAAGCCATGTTTCCCCCCTATAAACCCTATAAGCCCCTAAAGCCCTAAGCCGTCTGTTTCAGCTAAGGGAGTCCACTTCAGAGTCCTCTGTGTCTCTGCGGGCTTTGCGGCGGCCTCGGGACCTCTTTGCTGGGGCAGAAATTGAAATACACCATGGAGATATGCGTGTCAGGGGAGCATGGGAAGACTTTGATACTTTGGCCTAATCATGACAGCCCGATACTCATCAGGCTCTGTTCTTCATCTTGTGCCTAAACCCAAGATGCCAGAGAAGATTGGAGACGTCTTTGATGTGGTGCATGTCGGGGTACCGGGTTGATCACGCACGTAGCAGGAGGTGTTGTAGTCTTGCCCGACGTGCATGCAACAATGTGCATGAGTAGGCCTCTGAATGGCCGACCTGAGGGATATGCACTTCGAGTCGTTCGATCTTCCGATACTTCGCATTCTGAAGGTTGACACGCAATCAGCAAGCATTGTGAGCTCATGCATGTGGGCATGCTGAAAAGGTCCGGGTACACAAAGGGTTTTCGAACTATTCAGGGCAAATTGGGCACGGCCGCTTAATCCGTTGATGGCTGTGGGAGGTAAGCCAAAGCTTTCCGTGTACTGTAGACGTTCTAGCTGCTGGAAAAGTGCGACGTTGTCAGCTGCACTTACGCCGCAAGGCTCTTCCGCATCAATTTCAGGGATCTGCAACCTCCACTGACTCTAGTGACTCTAGTGCCTCTGGTTCGAAGGCCGAAACAGTCCGCACAACCAACAGCTTGCATTTCGACTGGCACCGCCGAGGCTAACGGCTTCTGAGAGGATCCAGGCAGCTCCGGAGTAACGGGGCGATTTAGCATAGCTGGGGTTGAGGGATTGAGAAGTTCTTCGGCCTTTGTGAACTGCGTATGCCTCTATGATTTCTTCTGCTAGTAGCACAGCGATCCGTGTTACTACTGTTAGTGCTCAATGCAGTGTTTGATAGTTCCGATTTCTTTCGTGAGGTTTGCGGTCAGGTCTTGGGCCTCTGGCTGCACTTGATGCGAAATGTTTGTTGCTGACTTCCGGCGACACGGCTTTTTCCCATCTGTCTGTATGAGGCGATGATAGCTTCGATATGCAAACTAAATGTAACATTGTTATAGATCTGAGCTCTAGAGGGGTGTGGGCTTCGGGAAGGGGCAGGAGGGTGGACAACTGCCATTTCTGCCTGAGAATGTCGCAATGGATCACGGGCCTGCCTTGCAAGAGGCATTTCGTCCCTTCCGATTTGCTGCGACATACTCGACGTGACTGTCCTGTATTGGAGAGTTGCGACCCACTCCTATCGAAAGTACATGATTGCTGATTGTTATGTTCTGATCCAACCTTTGGATATGACCAATAAGCGCTCATGAGTCACCCGGCCATAAATGTTCCGAGTCCTTGCATGGCAAAGCTTGGATGCGTGCAGGTTGATGGTTAGGGCATCATCCCATGGGACGAAAGAACTCAGCGAGGGTGCTCTGTATAAAGTCTGCCTGTTCGTTGTGTGATCGTTGTCTTATGGTGGCTGTGTTTTTGATCTGTGAACAGTCAGGTCGAGGAAAAAGGTGTGATCACAGAGACAACCCATTTTGCTAGTAAGTTGGAAGCCGGAGAAAAAGCACAGGAGCTACGTACAGTCGTGGGAGCTGACACTGAGATCAGGACGTTTTTGGACGAGCGGGCGACCTTTCCGTCAGCCCGGGGCAGCTTTTCTCAAAGGCAGGTGCCGGGGTGGGGTAGCTGCTCACATGGTAGTGGTGGGGCATCAGCCCGGGAGTTGTGTTATTGGCAGAGTCTGCGGTGTAGTTTGGGGGTGTTTGTTTTGCTTGCTTATGCTCAAACTTTTGTATGTCTCTTACTACTAAAACCTCTATGCCTCCAACCCTTACCCTACAATACGCCCTACATCCCCACGTACTGTAAATCTGTGTAATACCATGAACCCCAAGACCCCCTATTGCTACTATTAGTCGCCATCAGCACAGCAATTGCCAGACCTGAAACGCGAAGCCTCGTGGCCTCCGTGATCCGAGTGGCGCTGATGGCAGTTTCAAGCAATGCCCCCCCTTTCAGTATCTACGGCAAAGCTGTGAGAATTGTGAAGTATGCCTTTGCAAGGGTGTGTATGTATATATATATATATACACACGCACATATATATATATATACATACAAAATATAGGGTTCTCTTTAAGGGGACTTTCGGGTTTAATACCAGGGTTCCCTTTCGGAGGCACAACGCCCGGCCCTTTCTCAGAGGGCCCGGCCCTGGGTTCTGGGGCTCCTCCCAGGTACAGCAATCGCTCACTTAAGGAATGAGTGTCAATAGGGTGTAAGGTTTTAGGGTTTCAGGGTTGTTTAGGGTTTATAGGGTGTTAGGGTTCAGGGTTTAGCGTTTTAGGGTTTGGGGTTTTAGGTTTTGTGCTTTGTCATGTTGTTCTTAAGGCTTCGAAAGCTGAGCTTAAGTCTCGTCTTTCGTTCCTTTAGTCCAGAGCTTTGCATGGGATCGGCCGAGCAGTTGTCTTGGAGTCTGCCATGCTCATATCTGTGAAGCAGGGTCCACGATTCAGCTTGAAGCGTTTCTCTGTCAGTGTATCAGAATGACGCTACGAACATGATCTAGACATGTGTGTGCATGTGCTAGTTTCCTGCGTTGACTTGTCTTCATAGTAACCACCAGGAGAAGACGTCATAGGTCATAGGTCATCCGGTAGTGATGCTGGTTTTGTGCTGAGCCTTCCGGCAAGCTTTCCAATGCAGCCTAACTCTGAGGAAGCAGCAGGCGTTTTGGCAGCGAGAAGCGAGGGGACTCTGGAAAGATTAGCTTCAGAAGTGCAGTCCTTGGTGAAGGATGCGGATGGGCTGGCACTCTGCTTGACTCTCTTCGAAAACTCCAAAGCCATGGATTGGCGAGAAGCGCAGGCAATGCTCCGCAAGGTTCTGCTCCAAGCGACGGAGAAGGGTGGAGAGAAGTGGAAAGTGCAGTATGTCTCGGCCTTGCTGCGGTGTCTCCGCGACGGTATGCTGGAATTACCGGCGAAGCTGCAGGAGCTTGGTTGTAGCGCCCAGTGTGCCGTCGATCTGCAGACGAAGCTGCGTAGGGAGGTGAGTGTGGCTTGCCGAGAATTCCTGCAGACCGTAGCGTATGAGCTGCTGGATCTGCACGAATTGGTCGCATCAGCTCCGAAATGGATGCTCTGGGAACTGCTCGATCCCCCAAGCTTGGTGAGATTGCCAAACGACTTTGCTTGCCTGGAGATTGTGTTAAAGGACCCGAAGCAGTGGCACTGTGGCTTTGGCTCAAGCTTTCTACAAAGGCTTCGCTGGCTGAAGGCCTTGCAGCCGCATGAACCAGAGGTACAGGCACAGCATTGCTATCAGAGGCTCGTGGACATCTTCCTGGCTTCCCTCGCAGCTGCTTTTGCCCAAGGCCACAAGCTAAGAAGAAGGATGAAGCCTGAAGAACAGCTACTCCAAGAGGTGCGGCAACTCCTCACTGAGGGGGAGCTCCCTGAGAATCTGAAGGCGACACTTCTCACGGTGCCTTCTCAGAGCGCTCCTAGAAAAAACCCCAGTTCTGGCTCTGAAGGCTCGAGGAGAAGAGAAAATCGCCCGGACTTGTCTTGCTTCCCGGCTCTTGAGATGCCCTCAAGTGCCTCTTGCACTTGGGTTGACACCACTGAAGCGTGGGGCAGAGCGCTTCCGAGGCTCTCCAAGGCCGTCGTTGCTGCTATTGATACAGAGTGGGGGGAGATTGGCAAGGGCCCAGTGCTGGTGCAAATCGCGGTGGGCGACGGCCTTGAAGCTGCCGAGTGCTTTTTGATCGATACTCTCCTGGGACCGCCTGCTCTGGCTGTTTGCTTGCTCCGATGGTTGCACACATCCGGTTTGCAGCTTCTCGGCTGGTCCTTCAAGGAAGACAGGAAGCGTTTCGCAGAGTTGGATCATTGGGTGAGGGCCACCCTTCCTGCAGAAGAGGACAGCTTGGAGCGAGACATGGTGCCGGAGGCCATGAGGGTCGACGACTTGCAGTTCACGCTTCAAAAGCTGATGAAGGCGACGGATCAGCCCTCGCTCTCTTCCGCTGCGGCTCATTTGCTCGGCAGTCGACTGGACAAGACCGAGCAGTGCAGCGACTGGTGCTGCAGGCCACTGGGCCAAGCCCAGCAAGCTTACGCTGCTTTGGACGCGGCTGTCCTGCTTGAGATGCACAGGGAGCTGCAGCGACGAGGCCTTGAGAACTGAGATCTTGGCGGGCCGTTTCTTCATGCTGGCCAGAGCTTGCAACGAGCCTTCGTGCACGTGACCAGCGCCCTACTTCGTTTGCTTGGAGTGCAACGGATCGCATGTTTTGACTTTGGAGGTGCACCCTGAAGCCTTTTCACTACTGCATTGGAGCCCCGGCCCTCTACGGGTCCCAAGCCCAAAACGGCAAGCTGTAGATCCCTACCGCCCAGCAAACCCCACCCGCAGTTCCAAGCCCTGAACCCCAAAGCCGAAAACCGAAAGAAAATCCAAAACTCGCAAGTTTCACGAGACAGAAACTGTATTCTCGGGACAGGTTGGGTTTACATTCTGCTGCTGTGAAGCTTTCTGTGTCACCAGCTGAGCATCGTAACCCCAATTCGACAGATGGCAGACAGTTCACGGCCGACTTGGTCGCCAGCGGAGCTCGCGAAACTTCCTCACATATCCTCACATATGGCCAGTTCTCAACCAGGCCTTCCCGCGACATATGGGACTTTCCGAAAATTAGGGTACCTTATTTTGGGATCCTTATAATAAGGGTCCTACTATTTAGGGCACTATTCAGGGTCCCCTCTTTTCGGAAACCCCCATATCTCCAGGAGAGCCCTGCACCCGAAACCCTGGCCCCAAAGCTAAACTCGGAAACCCCCCCAAAGCAAAGAAAGGCTCCAAACTCCGAATGGTGTTTGCTCATGGACTCGGCCACTCTTCACGTGCTGGCCCCGGCCCGACAACAAAAACTTGACCGGGGCTTAGTCGAGGAGGCTTATAGGGGCTCATATATACATTATATATATATATGTATATATATATATACATATACATACATATACATACACACACATATATATATGTATTATATAGGGTTTTGGATTTTGTGCCAGTTGCGCGCGACCCAGCCCAAAGCCGACCCAGGAGGGTCCGAAAAAACTGGCCAACGCTTGGAAGTCAGTTTTATGGTAGCTACTTGGAGACTTGGAGGTTCATGGGTAGCTATAAATGGGGTTATAAGTAGGGTAACTATTATACTTATAACCCATATTAGGGGACTTATAGCCCCACTTATAACTGCCCATGAACCTCCAAAAGTACATGGCTCGTCTAAGCGTGATCTTCTTGCCAGTGAGAACTCTAGCAGCTAGCAAGAGCATCAAGCCAGCTGAGGTCCGGGCAGATGAGAAGTCAAGAGCTCGGACGTTCCCATAGTGAACCCCAGTTAACACCCAAAGTCATATATGCGAGTTTTTGAAGATGGGAGGTCCTTCTGAGGGTCTTTTCAAGGGACGTGCGCGAGGCCTGGATTCCTGCGCTACGCGCTGCATGTGTCGCGGAGCTCGCCGGGAGCTCGCACTGCACCTGCTCGCAGAATGCGGAACCCAGAACACGGCAATGGACAAACAGCTTTCATGCGACGAAACGTGACTAGCAACACTTTGCTGCCGGTGTGGAAGCACCGGTCCAGGCCCAGAATAACTGGGCGGGCCTCTGTGGACAAGGACCTGCATTTGACTTGACCTGAACATGTCATTCTCACCAAGCGCCTGGACCGGGTAAGGTCGGTTTTCGTTGGAACTGGTTGTCCTGTAATCCCTCAGCCCTATAAGCCCGAATCGGATCACGACTCCTCACTCTCAATCGAGTCACTTGTTGACGATTTTGCTGTTGAGTTTTCCCAGATGCTGCCAGGAGGGCCTTTGGGAGGGCGGTGGCTGGACGTCGCCATAAGCCCAGATTTCTGCATGCTTCGAGACAGCGTAAAAAAGAAGGAGAGAGAGGGAGGGAGAGAGAGAGAGAGAGAGAGAGACAGACGACGATGAAGCCTCGGGGCGGCAAAAACGGCTGGGTAGGCCCCGTGTTTTCAGCTCTGAGCCCGGAACACTAAATAACACACAACGCGCATTGCTACTGACCCAATGCTGGCCACTCCATAACGTTTAACACCATGGGTGGTCCAGTGGTTGGGCGGGCCAAAGGCCTGAGGGTCGTTAGTCGACCCCTAAGCCCAGTAGAAAAAGAAGCAGAGAGACAGCGAGATGTTTGCAAAACCTCGTGAGAAGAACGAAAAAACCCTACACGACCCATGTTTCGGGTCTAGGGGTCGCCTCTGCGCTGTTGCTTTTGAGCCTGCCTTTCACATCGAAGCGGGCTCGAGCTTTGGGGTTTAAGGCTTTCAGTCCTAAAGCTTTCAGTCGTACAGGTCGATAGATAGAAACAGCGAGAGAGGGAGAGCGAGAGAGTGGGAGAGCGGGAGAGAGAGAGAGAGAGAGAGATATATATATATGTATATATATATATATACTACATATATATATATATATACCCATACACACACACACACACAAATGCAGCTTATCCGTCCTTTTGAAATGCCCGAGACACCTCAACTCTAGAAAGCGTAGTAGCAGCAGCAGTAGCAGCAGTAGCAGTAGCAGTAGCAGTAGGAGTAGCAGTAGGAGTAGCAGTAGGAGTAGGAGTAGGAGGAGTAGTAGTAGTAGTAGTAGCAGCAGCAGCAGCAGCAGCAGTAGCGGTAGCAGTAGCGGTAGCGGGAGCGGTCTTAGAGCCTAAACTGCGGACTTGAACGAAGAAGACCCATACCCTCGAAACCAGCCTCGATCCGACACACCCCGGCACCCCCGAGCCTCCGTCCTGTTCCGGCTTGGGTTGAATAAGGATATAGGTAGCAGCGAAGAAGCACAACTAAACTTGGGTTTCATACGACTCATATGCAGTAGCAAACATGCAACGATAAACTGACAGACAGGCGTACTGCCCGCTGACATGTCAGGCCCCTGGATTTTCAGATCGAGGCCGTGGAGCCCAGACAAGGGGCTATCGAAATTTGCAGGCAGAAGGCTCCCTTTTCAGTCTGGTTTGTCCTAAACTCTAAACCGTGGGTCTGGTGAGTCCAGCACCCAAATCTGATTCGTTTCTACGACTCCTTGAGCTAGGTCACGTTGGTATCCCCATGCAGGCCTTCTACTCAGCGCAAATAAATAAATATATATATATATACACATATATATATATGTATATATATATATATGTATATATACGCTATACTGGGATCCAGTTCGCGCCCCGTGGTACTAAAGTGAGTTGAAGCAGATAGTTCTGTGGGTCACTGGAGACAGTCAGGGAGGTGATGTTCATGTCCAGTTGCGCAGCTTTTCGACCTGTAGCCTTTTGCGCTTTTTTAGTCTAGACTGACCCATAGCTTTCAGGTTATAGTTTTGGGTTTAGGGGTTTAGGGTTTAGGACCATAGCTTTCAGGTTTTGCGCCTGTGGGCCCATGGTTCAGGCCTTGAGCCTTGAGCAAGCCTTGGCTGTGCAGGGCATGGTGTCGTTGTCACTAAAGTCGAAGACCCGTGAATCAATATTTCACCACTGGGACACATGCCTCTTACTGTGCACCAGCATGGCAATGCCACTTCACGATGTATATCTTTGCTCCATTCATTTTGCCCTGCCACTGCGATCAACGGCAACAGTTCCCTTCAAGTGCTCAAGGTTTCCCTCTGCACAGATCCACCTTTGATGGACGGAGAGGGCCGTTGGACTGGATCGATGGCGAAGAATTTCAGGGCTCCTGCAGGTCGAGGCTCGAAGGTATAGAGGCTAATTGTGTGTTTTCGGAATTTGGGGGGTTCACTTTTAAGGATTTTGGGCAATTTAGGGATTAGGTTGACCCTGTACCACCCAGCACTCCGAAGCGAAGGTTGGGCCGTTTTCACAGCCTTTAGGACCAGAACTCCTTGTTCCGTAGGGGCCTAGGACCCGAAGCTTGTCTTAATAGAACTCGAAACCTCTAGACCAGGAGAGAGATAGAGAACCCTCATCCCTCCGCTTGGGCAGGGCTTCGGAACACCGAAACCTCCGAGCATCTCTTGCGGTGTTCACTTCATCTCTCATGCTGAGGTTGCCCTCGATGCCCTGCTACAGGCGTACATCAGGGCTCCGTCTTAAGGTCGCAAGGTGCAAGAAGTCTTTAGGACTACGCTTGCTAGCCAGATTGCGTTTTTGCCTGGGCAGTTGGAATCTGTGAGGCAGCAAAGCACGCAGTTTGGGTGTACTTAGGTTTCGGATTGTTGTACAACATCTTGCTAGACTGTATCGTCTGCTGTGCTCGTTACTCGCTCCCGAGAAGAGAACACATGGTAGAGCCACTTTGCAAAACAGATCCGGCATCAATAGAAGCTCGACAATAGAAGGGGTCACAGTGCATGGCCGCACTCAAACACAGATTCTCTCACTCTCACTCGCGGCCTTTGCCTTGAAGTCTCCACAAGGTTTCGGGGTTAAGCCAAAGCGGTTGCAGACCCTACGCAGTGTACCCGAAGGAATATCGTCAGTAGGGAAGCCCATATACAAAGCACGGTGTCCAACTTGTTGCGATTGGTCGAAGGGCGTCTCGCAGCTGACACTTCCTGGTGTCCTCGAGGGTGCGAGCCCTGTCCTTCAGCTCCACGCTGCGGTTTTTAGGCCTGACTACTCGTACCGTAAACTCCATATGTGATTGAGCTACGGTGTTTCGGATTGTGCTACGGCGGGTGGCGACTTCCACGGGCTGCACCAAGGATCACAGGCGCTTGTATGGAAAGGAGGCTGGACTCTTGACGTCGGGGCTTGAATGCGTGATGTCGGTCATACGTGTGGGAAAGGTGGGCATTTTCGGCATTTTCTGCATGGGTGAACTCACAGCCTGGTGCAGAGTCACAGCATACGAAACCGTGAGGTAAGGAATTTCAAGATCGCCTGTTCCGAGAGCCAGGTATCGTGGGTTACCGTATACATAAGGACTTTGCTGTTGCAGCAGCCGTAGTTCCAGCAAGGGAAGACTGCTATAAGGTTCCAAGCCTGGCATCCACGTCAGCTGTCATGCAAGCTTCGTGACGGCTCGCCGGCTTCAGTCAAGCAGGGTCTTTTTCCCATGTCGTAATGTGCTAATCAGCCCCTTCGAATCGTCTTTCATTTTCCCTCAACACGCACGGGCTTGCTAGGTTGCGGACCCTTTCACAAGTCACAAGACCTGAAGCCTCAACCCTGAACCCAAGAGCCATGGAGCTGAAGCTCCTACCCAGAAGCCAGAGAGAAGCTCACGTAACATGAAACCCTCAACACAAGCGCAAAACAACAACCCTACCCGACATCCACCACTGAGAATCACCATCCGGAGCCTTTGGACCTCGATGCCATGGGTCGAAGAGCATCAGCTTCGGCGCTGGATGTCAAGGCATAGGGGCTTGGCTCAGCATCTTTCAGGACGTCATTTGGGTGTTGCGAGAGTTGCGTTTCGGGTTCCAGACTTTCTGGAGGACGACCACATCCTCTCGATGACTCTGGTGATGAACTGAAGTCTATATGTGAGTGAGCTTGAAGGGGCACCCGCTGAGAGCTTCGGAACAGCTGGGCGGGTTCTTATTGTGGTCCAGAAAGCAGGCTGCAGTGGAACAGCCGAGCGTCACCAGAAGCAGTACCTGACATGGCCCCACCAGACCAGGAATGATAGTCAGATGTGTTTTGGGTCAGTGAAACTCATAGTCCTGACAAGCCCAAAACAAACATGTCCTCGAGTATCCCTGCTGATTCCCAGTATCATCCCGTGCCAGCCTCGATGTGCTGAGTGCAGGAAACGCCCCCTAAACCAGTCAAGTTTGTGCTTCGAGATGCTTTGCATCCGCAGTGGCCCCCCCACCCCCCCCGGAGGGCAAAGACAACTTCTCCAAGATCCGCACTCCATCAAGGCTAAGGCCCGGTATGGAGTCTCGGGGCTGGTTCGTGTTGCAGTGGAAGGTCCGGAGTGCCAGGGGGAGCTCCTACTGTAAGCGAGAGCTGAGACTTGAGCTCTCAGCACTGTTTTTATCGCCCTAGGCCCCTAGGCTTTGGCATAAGCCACGGCAAGAGTGAGACATCAGAACCAGGAATGTGTACGTAGGAGAGGCAAAGTAGAGGAAGTGGTGGAGGCGACTGTTTGATTGAGAGCGTCTTCTGCGTGCGAGGTGGTGATACGAGCAAGTGCAAGTTCGAACGTATCCTTATGATGGTAACGTGTTTGTTTGTCAGTATCTCATGTACGAGGGTTTGCGGGTCGTAGTGCACACCACTCAGCCCGCGTCCTTCACGGGCCACAGATCCATCGGGACAGGCTGGATGATGCCGGCAGACTTTCGGATTGCAATCGGAGGGCTCATAGTTTCAGGATTCAGGACCCCGGTTGCTTCTCTACTGACCTCCAGTGGCCTGTCCGAGTTGTGGTCCAGACTTTCTGAACGTGCACGGGTTATGCGGGTGTCGAGTATTGCGGAGTTCTAGACTCTAGGACTTGTTTGTGATTAGTCACGAGTCACGACACGCCCGCCGGCAATTTCATCAACCAGGCACACAGGCCGCAGAAGTATGTCGCAACTAATTACCAATTACCATGCTGAAGTAGACTTGTTGGCACGGCTCGAGAGCGATACCCCTTTGTAACCGGAATGATGTTAAAATACGCGGACGCGGCCCCAGCCCCGGCCCGTATCGTACTTTGCATCTTGCTTGGCTTCTTGTGCCTGACAGTCAGAGCAATCACACATTCGCAGTGTGTTCTTGTCAGTGGTATCGTTCTGGCGCATTCTACGCGTCTGGGTGCTTGAAACGTACAATGAACAGTATGCGGCTATATTGACAAGACGAAATTAGCTATATAGCTCCCTATCGCCCATTATCAGTTGGAGTTCAGGGTTGGAAGAGCCCAGCGACCATTCCCTCCGATGGCCAAAGACGGCGTCCTCGAGGTCCCAATTCGAGCCGGGCCAAGAGCTCGAGCCCACAGCCGGCGTCGAGCTCCAGCTCCCGTGGCTCCGGGGCAAAGAGCTGGGTTTCAGGCGGTCGAGTTGAGGATTCATGGAGGCTGTAGGGCTTTGCGATCCAGTGGTTTCTTCTCAGCTGTGCCCAGCACACCTTATGCACATGCTTCGCCGAGATTCCTTCAAGCACTGCGTGTGGGTTGTTTGTGTTTGCAAGTCTTTGTTTCGCTTCTATAATGGATGCATCGACGGTTCAGATTATGGAGGCTTATATATGAGCTTGGAAGGGCGACGCCCCGAAAGCCTTGCGTCCGCAACCCTGGACTGCGGACCTTTTGGTGCAGTGGGGGGCGGTGACGAGGTACGGCCGTCGATGTCGGCCTCTCTCGAGAGGCCTACAGCAAGGTGCAGCTGCATTAGAGCTCGAAGGGAGTCTTGAAGGGAGTGTTTATAGGAGGCTTTCAGCTTTCGCATGCATGCGTACATGCTCCGGCCGGCAGCCAGCCCGTTTGTTCGTGCGTGCCAAGGCCTTCCATTGGTCTAAAGCTGCTGTGACACTTGTTGCGATGAGGATGATGAGATAGAAGAATATGACGATTACGATAGTGGCCACCGCAGCGATGTTGATGATGATCATGGGCCCGATGCTGAGGATGACCCTGAAGATAAAACTTGACAGCTGCCATGGAGATGGCGATGGCATCACCATCTTCTGCATCGTCATTACATTGACCAACATCGACACCGTTTGCACCTTTGCACCGTCGTCCTCATCTTCCCCTGCATTGTTACCATTTATTCTTATCCTTGTCGGTTGGACTTGTGGAATCTTGCGGATGGGTGCTTGGCCATTGCTTGTCTGCTGCTCATGGACCCTGAAGGCCAGGAACATGCTCATCGCCGCGCGGAAATCCAACGTGGGATTTGAAGACGAGGACGAAGTCTTTCAGGGGGACTTGGCGACTGCAGGCGTAGGGTTTGCATGAATTTCGGCTCGCAGTTTGAACTTTCGTTTCCTGCACTGCGCATCGATTGGGCAGCAGCTCGTGGGGCGAGGGTAGACGGCTTGCGAGCTGCTTGGTGTGGCCACATCAGGCTCTTTCATTTGATCTCGCTTTTCCTTTCCTTCTACTTGGAGGTTCATGGGTAGTTATAAATGGGGTTATAAGTAGGGTAACTATACTTATAACCGATATTAGGGGACTTATCACCCCACTTATAACTACNNTACCCATGAACCTCCAAGTAGTACTCTGTATCATGTTAAATTCGATTCCGGATCCCGGCTCGTCCGAGCTCCCCCCGACGGCCTTGAAACACGAATCACTGCACCTGGGAGCCCAGATTCTTGGCAGTTGCCACCAAGGTACATGGAATGGAACAAAGCCGACGCCCTGAAGTCCATCTCTATAATCCCTATACAGCCTTTATAAGCCCCCAATCCCCAAGTGCTAAACCCAACGTAAGCCCGAAAAAGCTTCGACTCGCATCCTGCAGGATGCCGCTGAGTCGAAAGAGGAGACGAGCGGGTTCAAGCGTGTGGGCAAGGCCTGCGAACACCACCCAAATCTTGGCTTCGAACCGTACGCACTTGAGGGTTGAGGAATGGGTGTGTTCCTGTGTCGTTGTTCTATTTGTAATTGTTTTGTTAGTAGCTCATTCGTTTTAACTACTTGCTTCCATCCATCTCTCTCGCTCGTTCCTTCTCGCCTTTGTGTATAAACGTTTTTGTGAGTGCTGTATATGAGTTTGTACATGGAAGTACAAGTAAATGTAAACAGCGGCGAGCGACCAATGCAGTTTTGTCCAGGATGGTGGCGGTAAGCAGGAGGGCAATATAAAGCAATCGCTTCGGAGAGACGAAAAAACGACATTGCTTTTTTTCTGACGGATGTGAGTGGCAGTGGTACCGAGAATCATCGGGCCCCTGCAAGAGCACAGATCAAGAAGTATACAAACAATGAAGTAGCAACGCGACTTTTGCGTATTCAACAGCAGTACTCGTGTGGGTTCACGTTTATTCACACAGACAAGTCGTTTAAGCTCAGGGTAGGCCACTCGCCGGCAAAGTGCCGGTCACTTGCTGTAGAACGTGAGGGTCTGGTATCCAGGGATGTGGGGGGGGGGGGGGGGGNNGGGAAATGTATATAATTTATATGATTATATTAGTTTTGCTTGTTTGTGCGTACCTATGTCTGTACGTGCGCATGCTATGCATGCATGGATCGAAGGAATGCAAGAATTTGATAATGTCAAGGCCGAGGGGGCCAGAACCCAAGCCTCGCACGCTCTACTGCCCTGTCGGCCCTTTCCATAAGGATGTAGCGGACATGCACACCCGCACACGAAGTCTTGTTCGGGGCACAAGGCAAGAAATGCCTATGGGCCTGACCTTGGGTTTTGCAGCTTAGGATCTCTTAGCCGGACGGTCGTACTAGCACCATCTTCACCCCAAAACGAAAAACGAGTAATATGCCAGATAACTCGCTGCAACCCAGGCTCTGGTCAGCGGCNNGAGGCGCTCACCAGCCGTCGAAGCAGTGGCCAAAGCCTCAATTTGAGGTTGTTCAATCAGGAAGTATGTATAGTTTCGTAGGAAAGAATAAGGAATAAGGAACATTGCATTTATATGCGCATGCCTACTTGCATAGTTGTATCCAGAAGTACATGCGTACCGCCGGTGGGTTTGTGTGTGTGTGTGTGCGCGTGCGTGTGTGTCTGGAAACACATACAGTCCCTACATATGTACAAAACTGCAAATGCCCACAACACAAAAACACACACACACAACCAACCAAGACCACCGAGCTTCAGTTCTTCACGTTTTGAAATTCGTCATGACTTGGGAGTTTTGCCTGAGTCGTGCCTGAGTCGCACGTGATTCTAGGCTCATGCTAGGAAACGACCTCCCTTTGTCTGAGAGACTCTTGAGGTTGACCGCAGACTCTTGTGGAACAACTGGGAGCATGGTGAATCGGACTCATGTGCTCGCGGGTCAGGGCGCTCTTTCGATTATCGGCTCCTTAGGTTATACATGTAGTCTTTCCAGCAGAAGTTCCGTTGTCGGTGACATGTATACCCTTGAGGCCGGAATCAGAATCTGATGAATTCCCTCATGGCTGCCATTTCCCGCGCCGCATGGACCGCAATTGGAGTCGTGGGAAGCTTGCGCTCCCATGGATTTCGAGCAAGTTCTCAACGATGCGGCATAGATCTATTGATTTATTGGGTGCAAGTGACTTCCGGCTTGCCTCGGAACCTCTTGACGTATATCCCTGTGCTGCCTCTTGCGGCCGTCCCGACGAGTACCAAATGGCAGTGCTGAGCATAAAGAATTGAATACTTACAGGAAAAGATTGGCGCCAAGATCGCAGAGCTCGGCTTAGACGACGTAGTCTCCGAGTTCCTGGGCCATATCTACGAGGTGCCTCATTGCTCGCACGTTTGGGAGTTTGGGCCGCTAGCTTCAGGGTAGGAGCACATCGCATCCTCTTGAGGCTCCTTCGGCTGATCCGAGTGTGAGAATAGAAAGCCTCCTCCGATCCAAGCTCCCTGGCCATACGAAGTCTCCTGCCAGCAAATCGCAGGGAATGATCGAGCTGCAGATTGACGACTTCACAAGCGTCGAGGATGCCTTAAGTGTCCCGGTTGCAAGCTCTCCCTCAAGCCCAACCCCAGCCTGCAGACTGTGTAACATGCATAGAAAGTGACGGTGCTAGTCCGAGATAGACTGCCCCAGCTTGACGCCACCTAGCCGTGATAATTCGGGGCTTCCAGATGGGCTCCTGGACAGCTCAGTGGCCGGCGAGGCCGGGTGGATGCTTCTCGATTGCAGAAGCCTTTGGGACTGGGGACTTAGGGGGTTAAGGGGTCTTCTGAGGCCAGAAAATGATCAAGATTGGCTGTGGCTTCAGAGGGAGGCGGGTGAAGGGAGAGGGATCAAAAACCACATGTCTTCAGCGAGTCGAAGGGAGAGTATATGTAATCTCATGTGATGAACACAGCGCCAACTACTAGGCCCCTTGAGCCCCGATCCGCTTCGAGAATCAGATGTGTTAGCTGCACACGTGTCACACATGCGCCTGCTCCCGCGGATGTTCATGTCTTTCTTGTATTGGCTCCTCGCAAGGTCTGCTTCGAGCTTAAACTCAAGTGTTGGAGGAAAGAGCTATGGTGATATGTCGCTGTTCAGAACTTAACTCGACATGCAGGAATCCGACAGTCGTTATACCCCCGTCCCAACTCGAAACCGTGAACAAAAATTGTACCCCGACATAGGCCGTGCAAACTGCAAAGCCTGTGAATCAGTGAACCACATCAACCACCGTCTAATCTCATGCCGACCTAATCCCGACTTGCGCGGCCAAGGGAGTTCGTGGGAAACCTGCAGGCGTCCCTGATGGATTGTTTGGACTCAATGATCCAAAAGCACCCGAAACCTGGTTTGCAACTGGGTCTAGGGTTTAGGGTTAGGGCTTATCTACTCTGCGTTGGGTTGTTGGATGGCGATGCACGGTTTCAGCCAGATGGGAATATTCATCCTGAATCCGTGACTATGACTGAGGTGACTTTTCTGTCGTTGGTCGGGTGGTTAGGGTTGGCTTTATGTAAGGAACTCGCTACCCTGCCACTGAAACTCAAGATGAATTCTGAATAGTTAGTCTTGAGGATTCCTTGGCCGTTTCTGCAGTTGTCCGTTGGATTCTTTGTCCACTTTCAGTTCACTTCGAACCTAATATGCAGGTTGCTGGGACCCGCAAGCACAACTACTTACATGCTAACATTCACAACCCTTATGAACTTTGTTCGAGTTCACACCAACTTCTGAGTAAGGACTGCTTTTGTGGACGGCAAGATGAGCCGAAGACAGGCCGACATTCGGGGCTCGGGTTTTTTCTTGCGGACGCTTCGGGTCAAGAGTTTTGGAGTTCAGGTGCTTCTGGTAGTTACGTAGCTCGTGCGTTTATACTGCAGGGTCATAGGACAAATCTGAATTCGCCTTTCTCCCCCTCAGCTTCGGAAGCCTCGGCTGACGAGGCCCCAAGCCCGGTACATCGAGCGAAGCGTGGCATAACAAGTATTCTAAGCTCTAAGGTTCGACCCCACCCAAAAAAATACAAATAGAAAAAGGGGGCAAGCTCGGAATTATCCCCGGCCCATGAAGACCCCGAACCCTGCAAGCCTTAAACCCGCTGAACTCAGGGAGAGTTGGTCGAAAGCGTTGTCTCTGCAGCCCGGGAGATGGGATCTGAGATTGCCTACACGCCCCTGGGCTTGGGTGCAAGTTTCTGAGTTGCTTGGGCTTGTGCGCCCATCTCGGCCCCTGAACTAACGATGATGGTGTGACTGGTGGACTTGTTTCGCTCGTTTTTTCTTGCGGTGCGAGCCCAACTCCCCTTGCCTCCACTTTTCAGTCTGGTGGCATCGGATAGAGGCATCCTGTGGCCACCTTACAGCCGCATGCAGGAACTGGGCTTGCGATCCCAAAAACCCAAACCCTGTTATTACACGGTGGGAAAATACACCCCATAATGAAGCCCGGCTTACAAAGCTACCGGCACTTACATGGAATGCACGAATCATGCATCAATTAGAACCAACAGGCAGAATCCCTGTGCCGATTCTCGTCAAGGCTCCCAAACTTACTTAGGCCCTATGATCCCTAAAGTCCGACCGGAAAACCGCGCAAGCCCGCGGTTCAAAACAAGAAGCCCTGAAGGCCTGTAGCTTTGTCCCGCTCAAAGGTTGAAGATGCGCGAAAGGCAATCTGGCCAAAAGCGAAGCTCCGTTCCCAGCGCCACTTGCCATGCAGTTTCTGCGCGGCCCACGAAGTTAAGGGCTTTGCATATAGGTACCCCGACACTCCTAATGGGGTTTGAGTATATAAGGTATAAGTAGAGGGAGCCTGTCAAGCAGAATGAGGCCTTAGGGACGGTTTAGCAGCGAGGGCCCAAGTTGAAAGCTTTCCGGCTTCCCAGGAATCTAGGAATCGATGGTTCGGCTTTGGTCGTTCAGGTTTCACCTGCTGGGGGTCTTCAGGTCATCGAACCTTTCCGGTCTTTTGAAGTTTTGGAGTTCAGGTATGCGGATGTTTGGGAAATGAAGCTTGGACGATACATGGCTTGTCCAGGAGCCTGAGATCCCTTAATTAAGGCTCCATAAGCCCAAGCTTTTACTCACAACTTATAACTTTCTAACCCCAAGGACCCTCTGCCCAAGACCCGTCCTTTTTTTCTCGGTCCTTGTGACGGCAGTTTCGGATGGAGCCCCGAACCTTTTGAGAGCCCATGTCTAAGCAGATGACTCTGCACCATAAAGAATGGCTATGCCGCTATGCCACGGTACCTCATACAGGCAACTCACAGCTTTAAACCCTCTCCCTCTGAACTTTGCAGAGCACCGCTCCCGAGCCGACCCCAGGGCCCGGGCAGAGGAGACCCCTCTCCCTTGCCAAACTTCTCCAGCACCTGATGCGCATTGCCATTTCCCAGGTGAAAAGGGGCACTGCGTCCCAATTGCACCCCTAAGTCGTCTAGAAAGGACCCTATAAAGGGGGCCCCTAATTTCGAGAACTACCCCAAGCGGCGTCCTTCAGAGCAGTGCCAGTACCCAGAGACTCCAAAATCCCTTAACTAAGGAATATACTTTAAATCATATTTGGGTTCCTATTATAGTTTAAGGTACATTCCTCAATTAAGGGGGTTTGGAGTCTCTGGGTACTTCTGGCCAAGTTTTGGAGGCCCTTCCTGGCATGACGGAGGCCCGCGGCCTGGAAGGTCGGGGCTTTACCCTTGGAGGCCCGGGCGGGCTTAAGTTTTCGGATTTAAGATAGAAGCATGAAGCATTAAATTAGTAATTCTACATGTTATATCTGGGGTTCCTGATTATAGTTATACAGTCTTCTAATGATTTAAGGCCCCTGAGCTACATGGGTCTTGAGGTTTACCTTCTTTGAACAAGGCTTGCAGTGGTGTTGACCAGGCGGGCCGTTCCTCACTAATTCAGATTGCCCTAAGGCCCTTACCATATCATCAAGCTATCGGTGCCTTGCAGGGCAAGCTTAAATTCACAACCCATCGTCGCCACTATCCTTTCAACGCTAATACACTTAAGCCACTCAATTTTCCAACCCTCAAAACCAAAGCCCCGATATCCCCGAACCACCTACCCAAAGCAACGCCCTCGCTCCTCCCTTTGCGAAGGGCGTCCTGGGACAAGGGATCGGGAGCACCGCGACGGGCACGATGGTGCGGATGCGCGGCTCAGAAAAGGTCTGCACACTGAAACTGATAATGGCAAGAACAGCAATGGTGAGCGATAGTACTCGGCGTCCTTGCCTTAGTAGCAGTAGTAGCAGTACCAGCAGCAGCATGTAGTGGTAGTCGTCGTCGTAGTAGCAGCAGCAGCAGGAGGAGGAGTAGTAGTAGTAGGAGCAGTAGTAGTAGTAGCAGCCGCAGCAGTAGCGGTAGCACTAGCAGTGGCAGTAGCAGTAGCAGTATTGTCATCATTATTCGCAGGAGTAGTAGTAGTAGTCGTCGTCGTCGTCGTAGTAGTCGTCGTCGTAGTCGTAGTCGTAGTCGTAGTCGTAGTCGTAGTGGTAGTGGTAGTGGTAGTGGTAGTGGTAGTGGTAGCAGTACTGTAGTGGTAGCAGTGCTGGTAGTGGTCGTTGTCGTGGTGGTGGTGGTGGTGGTGGTCGTGGTCGTGGTGGTAGTGGTGGTCGTGGTGGTCGTGGT